CTGAAAACCTTGGGGGTTTCAGGCATCCAAGATGCCAGCTACAGGCTCCCCTGCTGGGGGGTTTAATTCCCCTGGGTCCTTAAACCAATTCCTCAGCACTGTTAATGCCCCATTTAAACATTTGCTTGAACCATTTAAACCCTCGATTAAACCATTTAAACCAGTCAATGCCTTCCTGGCACTGGACCCTTCCAACATCAGGATATTCCATGGGTTTAAGTCATTTCCTAACCTGCCTGCAAATGGAGAGTTTGAGTTGCATCCACTGGAGAAAGATATCACAGCAAAGGTTTAGCCAAGCTGGGATTTTGATATATTCTTTACATTACATGGGGCATTACGTAAATGCAGCAATAATGTCACCAACGTCTGAATTTTGTCATCCAGAACCACTTTTGGGCAGCACCTCACGGCACTTTCCCTCCCAGCCACGGGGCTCCAAATCACACCTGTAACTCCTCGGCTTCTCCACATCCAGCACTTGACCCTCAAGCATTTTAAGGGATCTGTTTTTCTTTCTGTGTGGGTTTTTTTTTGCAGGAGCACAAATGGATGTTTCTCAAAGAATCCAGGGCTCTGCACACAGTGCAAGGTGCTTTCAGAAAGCACCAGGCTTCCTTTTTTTGGGAATAACCAGCCTTGAAAAAGTGCCACATTCTAAATGCTTTAGCATCTAAAATGACTTTCTGCTTCTGTAAATCCTGGCTGGAAGTGTGGCTTAATTTGGGAGCTGAGGAACAAGCATCATTAAGCACTTCCAAGTCAGAGCTCTTTGCCCTGCTGTGTCTTCCCCCAAAACTGGTGGTTTCCTCTTTTTTAACAGCCCTGAACCTCAAGTTGGGCTTTTTTTTTGGGGGGGGGGAGGGGGTTAGTGGGGTTTTGTTGTTGTTGTTGTTGGGGTTTGGGGGGGTTGTGGTTTTTTGTTTGTTTGTTTTTGGGTTTTTTGTGGGGTTTTTTTGTGGTTTTTTTTTGTGTGTGTATGTGGGGGGGGGTTGTGGGTTTTTGTTTGTTTGTTTGTTTTTGGTTTTGTTTTTGTTCTTTTTACCTGTGCACAGCGACAGAGGCTCCGTGGGTCCAGGAAGGAGAAGATGTACAAGGACAGGACTCGAGGAAGCCTCGTGGTGAAATCCACGGCCTCGGCGGGAATTCTCTCCTGGAGGTGCCTGGCGCAGAATTTCTGCTGGGCCAGGGAGCAGCGTTCCAGCAACTCCACCAGCACCCTCCTCCTCTGCCCATCCGTCCACTTGTCGAACTGAAAAAGAGGGAGTTTTCAGGTTCAGAGTAAAAGCAGAGCTCCAACCCCTTAAAACAGAGCGCAGGTTCGGGGCAGGGAAGGTGCACGAGCAGCATCTCCTGGTGGTGACTCATCCAGGAGCAAAAAAAAAAAACAAAACTGTTGCGTGGAAAGCAACTCTGAAGCCACACAGCATGTGATTTATAATCCTCAAAGGATCCAGGATGGCCCAGTCCAGGACTCAGTCCTGCTTACAAGGCTCTTTGCCCCTGGGACCGGCTCCGAGCCTTGGCTTCCCTCGTGGGAAGGAGGAGACTCAGATGGGTGTTTTTACAGGATCAGGTCCCTAATCCCGAATTCATTGCTGATTCCTTGTCTCTCCTGACACTTCCATGGCCCCCCACAGGTGCAGTATTTGAAGGCCTCACAATTTGTGGAGTGTTTTTAATCCCAATCCCGCTGCGCAGGAGAGAAACCCCCAACCGTGGGGAAGAGGAGCAGAGAGAAACTAAATGAGCTGCAGGAAAACCTGCAGCTCGGAGCAGAGAATCCCAGAATCCCAGAAGGGGTCAGGTTGGAAGGGTCATCTGGTGCCACCTCCCTGCTCCAGCAGGGTCATCCCAGAGCAGGTGGCACAGGGTGGTGTCCAGATTGTCCAGGACGGTGTCCAGATGGCCCTGGGACAGTGCCCAGATCCAGCAGCGCCGTCACAAAGACCTTTTCCCGGCATTTCCAGGCTCCTGGCAGGTACTTCCAGAGGAGGATGGGACGAGCTGTGGAAGAACTGAGCCCTGAGGGAAGCACAGGAGCACAGACAGCTCTGTCACCCTGTCACCTGCGGGGGGTGGGGGGTGGGAGCATCGCTGGCGGTGGCCGGTGCGGCTCTGGTGTTGATGATAGCAGGGCACGGAAAAAAAGGGCGCTGTCAGCAGGAATCTCCTGGGAGCAGCCTGACCTCATCCCCCACAAATCGCTGCAATAATCCCTCTCCGAACCTGCCGGAGCGGTCCTGGCCCCGGGGGCAGCAGGGAGGCAGTGCCAGAGGACCAGCAGGCAGGAGCGGCAGGAATCCCCCAGCGGGAAGTGCCGGCAGCAGAATGGAAAGGGCAAACGTGGCTTTCCTGAGGTGGAATGTGGATTTTGGACAAGGGATGCTTCATCCTGTTTAGGGCAGTGACAGGACAAGGGAGTGGTTTTACACTGAAGGAGCACGGTCTAAAGGGGTCCCGAGAGCTGGAGAGGGACTGGGGACAAGGAATGGAGGGACAGGACACAGGGAATGGCTTCCCACTGCCAGAGGGCAGGGACAGATGGGAGATTGGGAAGGAATTGCTGGTTGGGAGGGTGGGGAGGGGCTGGGCTGGAATTCCCAGAGAAGCTGTGGCTGCCCCTGGATCCCTGGGAGTGTCCAAGGATGGGTTGGATGGGGCTTGGAGCAACCTGGGATGGTGGGAGGTGCCCCTGCCCACGGCAGGGGTTGGAATTGAACAATCTTTAAGGTCCCTTCCAACCCAAACCATCCTGGGATTTGATGATCCTCCTTCCCCGCACGGCAGGAGCCGCCGCGACCCAAACTCACCTTCTTTTCAAAGGGAAAACTGAGCAGTTTAGGGGAATTCCCCTCCTCAGGGAATGCTGCTTTTTTCCCCTCTTTCCTTCCTTCTCACGGCTTGGCCATTCCCAAACCACTCACCCTCTTTTCCACAGGGAAAGCCAAATTTCCTGAAGCCAAATTTCCACTGGCTCTCTGCAGGTCAGGCCACAGCACATTCATTTGCTGCATTTAACCTCGGGGACATTTAAGGCCTTGGTCAAAAGTGACCTCCAAAATTTAAAAATATTAAGAAAAAATACATTTTTTTCCCCCCAGGGTTTTCCTTATTATTGCATGTAAATGGTTTAATGTCCTGTGTCCCTTTTCCTTTCAGGACAAAACAGACTAGAAAGTCAGATTGTTTTCCCCTCCTTTTCCCCCCCAACAAGTCTATGCTCTGGCAGAATAATAGTTTAAAATAAATACCCTGTGCAGATGAAGGGTAATTGAGAAGTGATTTCTTTCCTGATCATCCTGAAGAACTCTTTTGTTTCACTCTCTTATTTTCACTTGGATGAATTCCAACACCGGAGAGTAAATAGCTCTTCCCTTTCTTGCAAACCCCCTCTGCAAGACCTTGGAGAAGGTCAGAATGAAGGAAGGACGGGTCTGGCATTCCTGATGTCCCAGGGAGATGAAAAGTCAAATAGGAAAAAAGCTCACAAGTGTCCCTTTTTTAGACACCAACAGAAATTAAGTTCCTCTCGTCCCTGTTTTGCACAGAACTTTCACCTCTGATGGTGTTTAGCAGGGAAAAACCAAAGTAGGACCTCGGGACTGGGGGCTTGGAAAGAGAATTTGGGGGCGCCTTCCAGCTCGGAATATTCTGTGCCTCTGTGACAAATCAAATGGAGGGAGACAGAGGAGGTTTTTCCTCGTCCCCTTCTCCCCCTCAGCTTGATGGGAAAGGCTTTCCCTGTCCCAGGAAGGGGAAAAGCTGCTGCTGGTGGTGGTGCTGCTGCTGCTGCAGACAATGCCCCGCTCCCGTAGCCACATCCACATCCTCCTCTCATTAAAACAATCCCCAATTTGCCAAGTGAAGTTTCTCCCCTCCGAGTTGAGTTGCGAGGGAGTAACCGGCTCATTCTCTTCCACATCAAGACACCGAGCGAGAACCAGTCAAAACAAATCGGGCTTCACCTTCCAGGAGAAGGATTCGCTCCCGTTTAACCCCTTCCATCCCGCCACGGGTTTTCCCAAAGGGGTGATTCCTTCCCCTCGTGCCGGGGAAGCTCCGTTGGAATCAGTGCCAGGAAGCGCACGGCCCCTTCCTCGATCACATCCAACAGCATCCAGGGGGTTAAGCCGGCAGGATTTGTGTCTTTTCCAGCAGTTAACAGGCATGTCCCCATCCCACATTTGGCTGCCTTTCCCCCCCCCACACACATCCTCCCTCCCTCCCTTTGCCTGTGATCCCAGCAACCCGACCAGTCCAACCGGATTCCCTTTGCTTCGCCTCCCTCTCCCCACAGCCAGGAACGGCTTTTTCCCCCTCGTCTGGGCCTTTCCCAAAGCCCTGGCAAACAATGTCTCCCCAGGGATGGGGTGACATCAGCGCTGGCACCGCTCGGGCCCCGCTCCTGGGATCGGTTTACAATTAATCCCTGAGTGCACACACACACAAATCAGGCAGCCTGACACCCAGGGACAATCCCGGGACCGCAGCTGATCCCAGAGAGGCCCCTCTCCCTGCCTGGAACTGGGAAGGGGCACAATCCTCATCTCCAGCCCAGCACGTGGACCCGAGATATCGGGGGTTGTGATCCACGGGCATTCCCCGTGCTCCACAAAACTGGGAAGGGATTCCCCGCTCCACGGGGCTCTTTTGCCAAGTGGATGGAGAAGCAATTTCCCCCCCCCCCCCCTTCCTTCCCCAGACATCTTCTCCCTGATGGAGGGGTTTGTTGGAGATCCAGCAGGGGTTGGATGGTCCCTCGGTGGGAAAGGTGGAGGAACACCGAGCTGGTTTAGATTTGCTCTCCCTAAACCATTCCTGACGGTCCCACCTGTTCCCAAAGGACTCCAGGGATGGAGATTCCGCCCCTGGGCAAGCCATTCCAGCGAGGAATTATCAGTGGAGCTGGATTTTGCTCACATCTAAATCGTGTCTCCGCTGTTGCAACTCAATCCCTTGACTCCTGGTCCCGTCCAGAACTCAAGGATCAGATCATTCCCTTCCCCTCTTTGAAACTCTTTTGTGCATCCTTAGAAAAAGATGTTATTACATTTTTTAATCACATCTTGGCTCGTTTCTCAGAGTGCCTCCAGCTGATCCTCAGCATTCCCAAAATGTGTGTGTTTGGAGGGAGGAGGTGCTTCCCAGATTTTTTTTGAGTTCTAATAGAAACATCTTTGCCCTTTTGCCACCAATTTCCAAGGGGTTTTCCAAGGGGTTCAGTAGTTGATATCACGTGAAAAGGTGTTTTAGGAACAACAATCATTCAATTATTCAGTTTTCTTGGTGTCCCTGAAATTCCTTAATATTAAAATGCCCTCATGTCAACAAGTTACGGAAATACTTCCTATAATGACCAAAAAAAAAAAATCCTTAAAATCAAAAAATTTGCCTGTAAAGACCAGTCCACATGCAAAAATAAAATTTAATTAATGGCTTGTTAATTCCAACCCAAACCATCCCACGATTCTATGTGTGCACTTGGTAGGCAAAATGCCACTTATTACAGATTTCCAAGACCCTCTGTCAGGCTGTGGCCACTCCTAAACATCCAGCATCTCCTCTGAAGGCTTTTCCCAAGGTTTTCTTATCCCATTCTGATGATGGGACGGGATTTCCCAACTTCAGGGGTGGGCACTGAGGGAATTTGCACCTTTGGGTTCCTCAGAAGCAGAGCAGTTGCAGCTCACTTTCCTGGCAGGAAAATGAACCCCTTTTCTCCAAACAGGGTGAGTTTTACACTCCCATCAGATAATCCCTTGAAATGTATCCATATTTAAATATATATTTAAAGGGACAAACTTACCCATTTTCCAAGGAGGGCTCTTCTTTCTTCAAACACCTGTAAAACACACACACACGTAAAAAAATGGAATATTTAAAGGGGATTCCACATGTCCTGAGGAAAACACAGCTTGAAAAAAAAGCAAAAACTCCCAAATAGAAAGAGGAGAAGCGAAAGGGTGAGTTTGGAAGAAACCTGTGGAGATCCTTCAGTTCCAACTCAAGGAGGTCATTCAGGGCTTCAAAACCCAGGTGAGCTTTCGAGTGTCTTCTCGGATGGGAGAGGTTCCACAACCTCCCTGAACATCAGATTCCCCAATTCCTTAATCATTTCCGTGGCCCTGTGCTGGCTCTGGTCCAGCAAGCCCACGTTATTTCCTGTACTGGGGAGCCCAAAAACGGGCAGAACGTTCCAGGACTGTCCTCACCAGCGCTGTGGAGAGGGGGAGAATCCATATCTCCTGACCTGCCACCTTCACCCTTCCTGATGTGTCCTGGTTTTCAGTCCCAATTCCCTCTCCTTCATCAGCTCATCTACCAGGATGTTATGGTGGACAGCCCTGAAAGACTTCCTAAAGTCTGGGAATCAGTTGGAAGTTATCAGTGCACCCAGGAAATTCCCTGGATTCAATGTCCCATCCCTGGAAGTCTCCAAGGCCAGGGAGAGTGGAAGGTGTCCCTGCACCCTGTGGCAGGGGGTGGAATGAGATGATTTTTAAGGGCACTTCCAACCCAAACCCCCAGGGATGTGGATTCCACAACCTCTCTGGGCAACCTGTGCCAGGGCCCTCCCCACCCTCCCAGCCAGGAATTCCTTCCCAATCTCCCATCTCTCCCTGCCCTCTGGCAGTGGGAAGCCATTCCCTGTGTCCTGTCCCTCCATCCCTTGTCCCAAATCCCTCTCCAGCTCTCCTGGAGCCCCTTCAGGCTCTGGAAGGGGCTCCAAGCTCTCCCTGGATCCTTCTCCTCTTCCACGGAACCGCCCCCACGCTCGGGACGGTGACCCTGCAAGTGAGGGAAAGGCTGTAAATGATTCCTCCAGCAGCAGATCAAAGAGGGAGGGAGGAAAAATCCAGTTTAAAAGTGCAGAGAAAACACCTGTTAGGCACGACTAGGGGGAAATGTGGCTGATCATCACAAAGCCCAGACGAGTCCCGGCTGCCCCAGCCCGCCAAGGGGGTTCCTGTGGGGAAGGACCTTGTTTTTGTCGGTGCTGCTGCAGTTTTGACAGCTCTCTGGCTCTGCCTCTCTCAGCAGGAGCGTCTCCTGAGAGGGCTGGGAAGCGACATCCCTTTTATTTGTGCAGTTATTACCCGCTTTTATTTGCGGGGGGGGACACACTCAGTGAAGTCAGATGGAAAAAAAAATATATAAAGCACAAAAAAACAAAAACAAAAACAAAACAAAAAAAAACCCAACAAAGCAAAACCACAAACCCCCAAAGCCCAACGAGCTGAACTTGGAAAAGGGTTTGCCCCGAGCCAAGTGATGAATAGTCAGAGATCTGAGTTTCGGGCTGGAGAATTCGTGTGGAGTGAGGGAGACGTTTATGTAACCAAGAGCAATGCTAACGGTCCTGGATCAAAGCAAGGCACATATTTGCTTTCAGCGCTCCTGGAGACGCTTCTGAGCTCAGCCCCGACGGAAAGTTCTGCCTCTCCGGGCATTTGGAAGCGTTAATTAGCGGCAGGATGGCCCCAAATTGGGATAATCACCCACTGCCTTCGTCAGGCAGGTGTGTTTTGTGTCCTCCTCTCCGAGGAAAAAAACGTGGCACAACACTGAGGGTGCCCCTGGATCCCTTGGAAGTGTCCAAGGATGGGTTGGACGGGGCTTGGAGCAACCTGGGAGGGTGGGAGGTGTCCCTGCCCTGGAACTGGGTGGTCTTTAAGGTCCCCCTCCCACCCAAAGCATTCCGTGGTTCTGCAATTCCACGATGAGCGTGTTTTCTCCTGTTCGAAAAGGAGCTTCAAGGCAGGTCAGAAAACAAGGAAAACACTTTTTATCCTGAACTTCAGCCAATCATTAAGGCTGGAAAAGGCCTCCAATATTAACTCCCCAAAGTTTTGCTGCAGCCTCTGACTCCCTAAGGATGAGAGGGGTTTAAAAAAAAAGGTGGGAAAAGGTGATTTCCTACTTATTGCCAACTGGGTCCTAATTTACTGCGCAGGGATCTGTGGCTGTAAAAATGCCTTTTAAGCAGGAAAGAGGCATTAAAATGATTCAAAGGCTGGAGGATGTGCCAGATTGAAAGGACTTCAAAGAGCTCAGTCTGTTTAGTTTATCAGAGAAGGTTCAAGTGTTGGCTTGAAGCAGGATAAAAGTCCTTCCACGAGGGAAAAATGCTGAACTGAAGTCTTACAGTGCAAAAAAAAAAAAAAAAAGAGGAATGATTTGGGGCCTTTCAGTAAGAAATAAATCAAATAAATCCACATTTTTTTTTGTTTGATTGTTTGTTTAAAAGGAACAAGATATTGAGGTTCTTGTTCCATTAACCATGACCCACACAGGCAAAAAATAAGTTGAATTTTTCTAGGGCCTGAGAATTTGTGAAGTGAACCTGAGAATGAATTTGTCCTGGGACTGGAGAATATTCCAATTCCCAGGAGAGGAGAATATTCCAAAACCCAGGACATGGGAATATTTCAAACCTCAGGGCATGGGAATATTCCAAGCCTTAGGATGGGAGAATATTCCAACACTCAGGATATGAAAATATTCCAAACCTCAGGACATGGAAATATTCCCACACCCAGGACAGGAGAATATTCCAAACCTCAGGACAGGAGAATATTCCAAACCTCAGGACATGGGAATATTCCAAACCTCAGGACATGGAAATATTCCCACACCCAGGACAGGAGAATATTCCAAACCTCAGGACAGGAGAATATTCCAAACCTCAGGACATGGGAATATTCCAAACCTCAGGACAGGAGAACATTCCAACACCCAGGACAGGAGAATATTCCAACACTCAGGACATAAGAATATTCCAGCACCCAGGATATGAGAATATTCCCACACCCAGGACAGGAGAATATTCCAAACCTCAGGACATGGGAATATTCCAAACCTCAGGAAACGGGAATATTCCAATATCGGGACAGGAGAATATTCCAAACCTCAGGACATGAGAATATCCAAACCTCAGGACATGGGAATATTCCAAACATTAGGACAGGAGAATATTCCAACACTCAGGACAGGAGAATATCCAAACCTCAGGACATGGGAATATTCCAAACATTAGGACAGGAGAATATTCCAACACTCAGGACAGGAGAATATCCAAACCTCAGGACATGGGAATATTCCAATATCAGGACATGAAAATATTCCAAACCTCAGGACATGAGAATAATCTAAACCTCGGGACATGAGAATATTCCAAACCTCAAGACATGAGAATATCCAAACCTCAGGACAGGAGAATATCCAAACCTCAGGACATGAGAATATTCCAAACCCCAAGAAGTGGGAATATTCCAAACCTCAAGACATGGGAATATTCCAAACCTCAGGACACGGGAATATTCCAATATCAGGACATGAAAATATTCCAAACCTCAGGACATGGGAATAGTCCAAACCTCAGGACAGGAGAATATTCCAAACCTCAGGACAGATGAATATTCCAACACCCAGGACAGGAGAATATTCCAAACCTCAGGACATGAGAAAATTCCAACACCAAGATATGAGAATATTCCAGACCCCAGGACATGGGATTATTCCAAACCTCAGGACATGAGAATATTCCAATATCGGGACAGGAGAATATTCCAAACCTTAGGACATGAGAATATCCAAACTTCAGGACAGGAGAATATTCCAACACCCAGGACAGGAGAATATTCCAACACCCAGGACATGGGAATATTCCAAACCCCAGGAAACAGGAATATGCCAAACCTCAGGACATGAGAATATCCAAACCTCAGGACATGGGAATATTCCAAACCTTAGGAAATGGGAATATTCCAAACCTCAGGACATGGGAATATTCCAAACTTCAAGACAGGAGAATATTCCAACACCCAGGACATGAGAATATTTCAACATCTAGGACATGGGAATATTCCAAACCTCAGGACAGGAATATTCCAAACCTCAGGACATGGGAATATTCCAACACCCAGGACAGGAGAATATTCCAACACCCAGGACATGGGAATATTCCAAACCTCTGGACATGAGAATATTCCAGTATCGGGACAGGAGAATATCCAAACCAGAGGACATGGGAATATTCCAAACCTCAGGCCATGATCCTGAGCCAAGAAATGGTAAATGAGACTCTGCCCTGAGGGGCTGGACTGGATGATCTCCAGGAATCCCTTCCACACCCCCCTCCCCAAAAAATCCCACGATTCTCGGAATTCCAGCCACAAAACTCGCCTTGTCGTTCATGAGCTGATGGTTCAGGGGGGTCCACGTGCTCATCTTGGTCTGCATTTTGGAGCCATCGGTGCTCCTGGGAGGGGCAAATGCCATGGATGCAGCGGGTGGGGCAGCCTCTTGTCAGCACCAGCGAGTTCCCAAACTGGAGGCTGAAACTGCAGCAGCCTGAAAACCAGATAATTCCTTTACCACGTTAAAAAAAAATATCTTTGTTTCCTGCATACAGTTACTAGGCAGTTTTTCCTGTAAATACCTCGGACTGCTTTAAAGCTTGACGGAAATAAGGTGGATAAATAGGAATTTTGGAACACAAGAAAAGGCAAATCCGTGAAGTAGCTCCCATATTGTCATCCCAGCCTGCCCTGAGCCCTCAAACACCTCAAAACTCACTCAGAAAAAAAGGACATTTTGCACTAATACAGCTCTGAGGCTCAGGAGACATTAGGGAAGCTCAGGGTCCCATTCCTTACCCAGACAAAATTCCTCAATATATAAATGGGTTAATCTTCAAAACCCACTGAGGGATCTGCTTGGGCACATCACTTCTATGATTAATTTATGGAATCAAAGAAATATAAAGGCAAACCAATGAAGAACCTGTTACATTTTCCTCTCTGGGCATGTAACGTGGTCCTTGGAAATAAGTTCATTACAAGAACCTGAGTTCTTCCTGCCTTTTTTTTTTTTTTTATTATTATTATTATTTTTGGAGGCTAAAGATCCTTAAATAACAAATTTTATGCACATGGAAATTTTAACTTCCCACAAAAAGACCTGAAGGACCCAGCGAGGTTTCACAGCCCCACATTCCGCAGCCGGACAAACACCAGGGTGCACCCACCTTGTGCAACCCTGCAGGTGTTTTTGGGATGCACTTTGGGATGGCATCACTCACTGGGCTGGTTTTGTTTGGGTTTTCCTGCCCAGAAAATACTCAGGAGTGGAGAAACAGCTCCTCTGCCAAAAAAAAACCAACCCAAACAAACAAAAAACAGGTTCAGGCAACCGTGGCCTGTTTTTCAGGGACAACTTTCTCCATTAGTCACAGCCCTCACACGAGGGAGCAGCTGGAGTTGTTCCAGGGGAGGTTTAGGTTGAATGTAGGAAAAGGTTCTTCCCCCAGAGGGTGATGGGGCACCCAACAGGCTCCCGAGGGAATGGCCACTTCCCAAGGATGCCAGAGCTCAAGGACAGGGTGGGATTTTGGGGTGTCCTGCGTGGGGCCAGGAGTTGGACTGGATGATCCTTGTGGGCCCCTTCCAGCTCAGGAGATTCCACGATCCTGTGGTTTTATCTTTGTGCCCTTCCACGATCCCAGGTTGCTCCAAGCCCCGTCCAGCCTGGCCTTGGACACTCACAGGGATCCAGGGGCAGCCACAGCTTCTCTGGGAATTCCATCCCAGCCCCTCCCCACCATCCCAGCCAACAATTCCTTCCCAATATCCCCCCTAAATCTCCTCTCCTTTGGTTTAAAGCCCTTTAAAGCCCCGTCACTTTAGCCAGGGCCCCACTTCTCTTCTGCAGTGCCCTTTATCTTTGGACTGGCTGCCCAAAGCAACATTCCCGAGGTTGCTCCAGCTTGTTCTTCACCTATCCCGGGAGGAAATTCATCCAGCTCAGCTGATCCGAAAACATTTCCACCAGCAAGAGAGATGGGATGAGGTTAACAGGGAGTCAGGCTTTAAATGCAAGTCAGGAATGTGTTGGTTCACCACCCAGGGAGGAAAAACTATTGACACACAATGCCCCCCACCACCAAAAAAATCACCTCTTATCCTTCCAGAAAAAAATAAAAAGGGAATGTGGGAGCAGGTGGCAGGAATAATAAATACCGGGGCAAAAGAGATTCGGGGGGGAAGACTGAGGAAAATCCAACTTTGGGGAGTTTATACGGGGTTAAAAAGAGGAAAACTGCCTCAGTTACTGTGGCCAGAGTGCCTGGGAATGGTTCCCAGTTAGGATGGAAGGATCCACTGAGCGGGGATCCACGAGATTTTGGTGATGTTCGAAGAAGACAAATGATTCCACAGGGCAGGAAACGTGAATGGTGGGTTCTAACAGCGAGACAATTGAAATTGGAAACCACTGGAAATACTTTCCCTGGTTTCAGCACAAGCTGGGTCAAGTTTTTGGTTTGAAAAAACCAAGTGGTCGCACCGAGGAAAGCTTAACAATCCTTACTGATCATATCCCATTAGCCAAGGGCATGGGAATAATTTCCTTTACCTGGGCTAATCTCTGCTTAACCCTCTGGAATGGCATTCCAGAGGTTTGGGCAAACCCTACTTCAAAACAACTCCTGCAGGAGCAGACCCACTTTATTCATGTTTTTTTTTTTTACCACATCCCTACAGCAAAGAGCCCTTGTGGTGCACAGAGCCCCGCTGCACTCGGAATTTCAAGGATGCATTTTTCCTAATCCCATCAATCCGCGGGGCAATCCGAGGGGTTCAGCTGGGAATAAACAGAATTTAACGGAATCAATCTCAAGCCAAGACAGGGGAGTAGTTTTGTTGGCAATTATATCGAAAATAAGCAGTGGGATGATGGAAGGAATGCTTTGAGCAGCAGGAAAAAGCGCGGGAACGGAGGGCAGAGGATGGATGGAGAGCTGAGGAGAAGGACCTGGGGGTGAAATCAATAGTCCAGCAAGGCTGAGACTTGTCCATGGATATCAAGTGCTTTTCCCACTCCCAGCATAGGGACGGGCACTGCCCTGGGGCTGTGACACACCAGCGCTGCTCCAAACCAGGTGCCACTGTCCCCACTGTGTCCCCTCAGGGTTCGGCCACGTCCCACTGCGGTGACTCCCCCTCCCCACGCTCTCCCAGGTGCTCCCTGTCCCCCGCTGTCCCCTCCTGTCCCCCCCGTGTCCCCCTGCCGTGACACCCCTCCTCACGCTCTCCCAGGGCTCCCATGTCCCCCTCCCCCGTGTCCCCTCAGGGCTCGGCCGTGCCCCACTGCAGTGACACGCGCTCCCCACAGTCTCCCAAGGCTCCCGTGTCCCTCCGTGTCCCTCACCTTCCTCCTTCCTCCCTCGGACGTCGCCGCCTCCTCCTCCTCCTCCTCCTCCCCCCTCCCCTCCGCATCCCGTCGCCATGACAACCGCGGGGGGTGGTCGCCAGCCAATCAGCTCCCCCCGGCGGGGTTAGCCCGGCCGGGGGTTCCGATCTACCTAGCAACCCGCAGGGAGCGCTCCCATTGGCCGCGCGGCGGGGCGAGGGGGCGGGGCTCGATGGCGCGGAGGGGGGGGGCGGGGCCCGGCGGGGGGGGGGGGGGGGGGGGGGAGGCGCGCGCTGCTGCCACCGCCGCCGCCGCCGCCGCCGCCACCCGAGGGGACAAGGCGGGAGCGCGGGGACTGCGGGACCCCCTCAAGGACAGGTACCGGACACGAGGGGACGGGACACGGGGCCATCCCCGCGGCGGGGGTGCCGCCCTCCGGGCCGCGGGGCACGGGCAGCCGCCCGCCGAGGCGCTGGCGGGGCGGCCATGCAGCAGCGCTGGGCGGGCGGGGGGAGCGGAGCGGAGCGGAGCGGAGCGCAGGGACATGGGGGGATGCTCGTCCCGGGAGGATGCTGGTGCCGAGCGCCGCGGAGGGGAGATGGATTCACCGCCCGTGCCTCGCTGCGGGGCCGGGGGTGCTCGTCCCGGGCTCCCCCCCCCCGCGCCGTAGTGCGGGATGCCGGGGAAGGGATGCTGGTCCCTCATCTTTCTCCTTTCGCGGCTCTATCCGCGCGCTCCTCTTTCCTTTTCCACGCGGGGAAAGACCTGCAGGTGTTGTGTGCGAGCATCTGCTTCCTTCTCCTTCGCCGTGCAGCGGGAATCCGAGAGGATGCTGGTCCCGCGTGTGCACTTGTTCCCCTCGCCTTTAAAACGCGGCGAGGATCCAAGGGGGAAGGGGGGATGCTCGCTCAGCATTCTGCTTCCCATCTCGGGTAGGATGGCCAGCTCCCTCTCCCGTTCCTTCCCGAGGAATACGGACTCAAGGAGCGAGCTGCCAGCCCCATCCCTCTGGATCTAGTGGGTGGCATCCCTGGGGTTGGGAGTGGATGAGCTTTAAGGTCCCTTCCAACCCGAACAATTCCCTGATTTCATGAAATCTCCCCAGAAAGGGTTTGTTTGTGCCTTTCCACTCTCCTCCTTTCCTCCCCGGTCTCCCGATTGAAATAGGATGGGGAGGTTGTGGTGTGGTTCCCCCTTTAAGATGCAACACAAGCGGAACGGGGGAGCGCGAGCACCGGAGTTTCTTTCCCACTGACTAATTAAAATGGAGTTGGGAGAATAATGTATTCTGCTTTTGTGCCTTCATGTGGGTGGGAATGGGCTGGGGAAGCGCTGGCAGTGCTGGTGTGCAATGAATGAGCTGCTTTCCTTCCCTTTCTCCGTGGTCGGGGCTGGGTGGGGAGTGACCGAGGTGACATTTTCCTCTTGTCCTCTCCCTTGTACAGGAGGAGCCCGGGTTTGTTGTTTTATTTTCCCATTTCCCTGGGACAGATGATTGTGAATTAATCCTCCTTCACCCTTTCTTCCTAAAGTCTCATGAGTTTTTTCTCATTGTTTCCACATCCCCCTCTCCCCCTTAGGAACTTTCAAATTTATTTTCAGATTTACTTGTGGGAGTCAACCCTTCCTTTTCGCTATTTTCACCCTTTATAATAGTTCTCTTTGCATGCCTTAATTTATCCTTTGCACCAGGAGTTGGATGAGCTCCCTCTGATGATAAATAATGTATAAATCCACAACCACACTAACAAACTACCGTTTCCTACCCCTTTTCCCTGCGTTTTATTTGCAGTGCCTTGGGGGTGGATGAGGAGACATCCCCTCCTTTTTTTTTTTTTTTTTTTTTTTTTTTTTTTTATCCCCGGTGTCATCGAAAGTGTTTTGTTTTTACATACATATAAAAAGAACCACAAAAATCTCATATGCAGAGGCTTAACAAAGAGTGTACAAACTGGATCTGTGGCAAGAAGCTCTCCTGACACTCAGGGTTGCTTATTACAGCACCCATCTGTCTGCACCAATTAATAGATCACCCATATCTCCTGTGCAAAACTTGGCTCTCCTTTCGCAATCCTTTGGTTCCCTTTTTGCTTCGTTTCACCTGGAATTATGTTGTTCTCCCAGGAAGGGGCACTGGATGCACTTTGCTGCCCCTTGGAAATATATTTATTTATGTTTTCTTCCTGCTGCAGTGAGCATAACATGGAAAGGTCCTGAGAGGACACATTGAATTTTTTTTCTGCTTTTTGCCTGGTTAAACTTTTTTTTGTTTTGTTTTGTTTTGTTTTGTTTTGTTTTTTGTTTGTTTGTTTGTTTTTAGCAGTCTGAGGCTGGGGGGGGTGGGGAGTCAGAGAATTTTTTTTTTTTTGAGTCTCTGCTTTCTGTGCCTTTAATACGATCTGTGTGAAGCGTTTACGGAATTTTTTTCCCGAGACTCCAGATCCTGACCTGGGTTTTCCCAATGTTTGTGCTTTCAGACTTTTTTTAGTTCATCTTATGTTGCTTCTGAACCTCTTCAGTGAAGCATTTGCTGCTGATCACGCTGCAATGGCAAAATAAGTGGCTTATTTTGTGACTTATCCCACACTGTGAGGTGACTTCCCCGGAATTCTGGAAAAAAATCTCGAGGGTTCGGTGGTCAGAGTGTTTGGGAAAGAGAAAAAAAGGAATGGCAGGAATCCCACAAGCTCAAAAAGCTTCTTTTCCTGACTTTGAGGAACTATTAGTAACAAAAATTCAAACCAAAGGACTGGATTCCAGGGGGATTGGGCACCTCGTACAACATGGAATCAAGGAATGGTTTGGGTCGGAAGGGACCCTTAAAGACCATCCCATCCCATCCCATGGGCTGAAAAAATCCAAGTGGGAATTGGTTTTGTCTGTCTGTAACGTGGGATTTTTCTGGCTGGGAGGGGGAGAACACACCAAAGGCTTCGGGCTCTGGTGATGCTGCCTGGAAAATGGGATAGTCCAGCTCTTTGTTCCTTGCGAGAGTTCCCAAATTGTTTAAAAAAAAAAAAAAAAAATTGTTAAAAAGGCGCTCTGAGAAATGGCATCCTCAGATCAGGACCTTTCAAGCTCATCTGAACTCGAAAGCGGGCTGAAAATCAGGCGTGGTTGCACGTGACCGTGTCTTAAATATGTCTCGTGGGTGATTCTGGTCTTCTAAAATCAGCGTGTTGGCTCTTCACAGCAACATTTGCTTTAAAATATGAGCAAGACGCTGTGACTTGAGCTCTTTTGGGTGGTTCTGCCGCTCAAGGGGTGGATAGTTCTCTTTCCTTCTTGGTCATATTTTATTTTTCCTGCATTTGGAACAGTTTTCCTGTTGATATTCTTCATGGGATTCCGCGCTGCCTTCCCCATCAATCTCCGTGACAGAGCTGAGAAGCCTCTGAAAAAAAAAAATAAAAAAAAAAAATATTGCCAATGAACTTAATTTAACATGGTTCTGTTTATCATCTTTTTTTTTTTTTTCTTCCTGTTTTCATGTTTGGTTTTAACCAGCCTGTTCTTCCAAAACCTGCAGCCAAACCCAGGATCTTGCAGGGAAGCCCAGAATTGTTTGGGTTGGAAGGAACCTCTCAAGATCACCCAGTGAACGAGAGTTTTTAAAGAGCTTTATGCTCCTTAATTTTTCCCACCATAAGATGGGCCTGTGCAAACAAAAACGTGCAGAACCGATACCAGCAGACCTCTGGGAATTAACTCTTTCCTGTCCCTCACTCTTAGGGAGAAAGGGAAAACTTGTGGATTTATTTCTTTTTCTGAACATCCCAGGAAAAACCCTCTCAAGGTTGGAGGCCCCTTCAGACTTGTAGTTCGAGCAGAGCTTCTAAATTTGTTACCTTTTTTAACGATAATTCTCTTCAAAGCAGTTGGTTGGAGACTGAATCTTGCAGATTTTACTGTGGCAAGGCAAAAAACATTTATTAAAAATTGTTACTTTTTGTCAGTCGAAGAACACTCCTCTGGTCTATCCTCAACCGCTGCGGTGGTTCCTGGAGAGGGGGGGGTGGATGGTTAAAACGGGTCAGGAATGACCAAAAAAAACCCAAAACATTTACAAGTAGATGAAAATGACACATTCGAGCACAAACCGCGGTGGAGCTCGTTGGGCAGGACAGTGGCGAGCTGGGACTTGCGGGGCTGGTGCCGGTGGTGACTCTCGTGTTTGTGTTTTATAATTATTCATCAGGCCATGCAAATAGCGAGATGCTATCGACGTGAACGCACCAGAGGAGGTGCTGAGTCATAAGTAGCTTGGTTTCAGTGTGGTCAAACACTAGCAAGTTAAGGTCTGACGTGAGGGGTTCCCTCAAACTACTTTCGTCGCGGTAAATGCAATCCCCGTTTTCGTCGTCCTTTTCGGGTAGAGTCCTTCAGCATCCCAGCTTTTCTGCCATTGGTTTCGTCCACTTTCCATTAATTTCATCCATCTTCCACTGATTTCTTCCATCTTCCATTAATTTCTTCCAGAGATTTAAAAAAAACCCACAAACAAAACCCCCCTAGGATTAAAACTCGTTAAAGGACCTTCTAATCTTGCACAGGAGAACTCGAAGGGGCTTGCCTGCCAATAGAAATCCTTAGAAATTGAGAAGTATTTTAACATATTTTAAGCAAATCCAAGGGTTTTTTTTTTAGTGTTTTCTCTTTGTTGTTTCAGGGTTACCCATCGAAGGGGGGACGCCCCTCTGCTGCTGCTGCTGCTCCGTCGCCATGGGCTCAGTCGTGTGGGAATGTGGTTAAAAATGCTTTAAAAAACTGAAACCAATCCATGGCACATCAGGCCGAGGGAAGGGCAGATTCCTTGCACACCCGCCTCAAATCCACCTCCTCCTGGACTGAGCTGAGGATGTCGACCACAAAGACCGTTCCAGTTTGGAAGAGCCTCAAACAAGGGCTGGGAATGTCGTCGTCGGGGTGAAACCCCGGGATACGGAAGGAGCTGGAAGGGCCGTAACCGGCCCCGTTCCTGGTGTGGAAGGATGGCTGGGAGCTGGATTTGGTGCTCCCTCTGGCTGCTGGATGTTTTGGTGGGGCTCACGGAGGGGCACAGTTTGTTTTCTTGCGAGCCCATCATCCTGAGGATGTGCCAGGACCTGCCTTACAACACCACCTTCATGCCCAACCTCCTCAACCACTACGACCAGCAAACGGCGGCTTTGGCCATGGAGGTAAGACTGGCTTTCCCAGGAAAATATCTGGTCTTGTCCTTCAGTTAGCAAATAATCAGTACAAGACAAACAAACAAACAAAAAAAACCACCAAGAAGATACACTGGAAAATTAAAAAAAAAAAAAAAATTCAGGATAATTATGAATTTAAATATAAACCCAAATGCCACTTGCATAGGATGTGTTGTAAAATATACACTGAGATATTCTGTGACTGCAGAATTTGCCTGATTTAATATAACTGAGCGTGAAATACTCTGGATGTGCTTGTTACTTTAAATATCTCTAGCCTAGTTGGTACAAAACTTTCAAGTTCCCTTCAGTCTTAAGGAGTTTCCTCCCTTGGTATTCTGTGGTGCCACTAAAACTGGTGGAGATTCAGGACGTTAGGCAAGTGTTGCTGTCAGCCTGTTCGAATTTCCATGAGAGATTTGTCCAGATTAGGTTTATTTGTGTTTCTGAAGTACTTGTGGTAAATTCGCTGAGAACTGAGATTGAATAATCATGTGTTCTCCTCTTGAAACGCCCTTCCTGACAACACAGAAAAACTGAATTGAGTGGTTGTTGTTGTTGTTAAATAATGTAAAGCTTTGGCTTTGTGGAGTCTTTCTATGCAAGAGTTGAAACCAGATGTGGTGGGTTTTTTTCTCTCTGTGAGGAGAAAATAGAGATTCTTACCCTTAAATTCAGGTTGTTTGGAAGAATTATGGACTTGCAACGACTCAGGTGGATGGTTCAGTGGAAGGTGGTGGGAGATGAGCTGAGCTTTAAGTCCCTTCCAACCCTTCCAACCATCCCGAGATTTTATGATTTTACTTATTCTCTGAGCTATTTTCAACCAGTTTCCTGCTATTTTCGTTTCACACCCTTCAGCCCCAGTGCCGTGCAGCATCGTGCTGCAGTTCAGTCCTCTGTTAACCCTTGAGATTTTGGAAACCTCAGTTCCATCCCCCCCCTCTCCAAATGGAGAGGAGAACTCTTGCAGTCCAGCTGCCTCCTTGCTGCAATAATTTTAATTACCTTTTTACTGCTAATTGCCAGTGTTAGGTTCCTCCTTCTGATTTTTGGTGTGTGTTGGGAGGACTGTCAAAAGCATCGCTTTCACAGCTCAGTTTGTGGCCACTGCTGGGAGGAGCAAGAGCGGTAATTTATGGACCCTCGGCCACAAAAACGGGGACAATTATTCTGATCTTTGGAGAGGGAAGGAGATGAGGAGTGAAGTGTAACTCCTCTGCCCTCTGTGGTGGAAAACACAACTTCATAGCCTGGGTAAAACGCTGTCCTGCTGCAGTTCCTACCCTGGAATTGGTGCCAGAGCCATTCTGAGGTGCCTTGGTGGTGTGGGAGGGGGGCGTGGAGCTCTCCCTCTGCCAATTATAATTAGCACTTAAACCAGGAGCTTCAGTCTGGGGATGGATTGTGGGCCACTTCTGAATGGCTCTGGAGAAATAGTGAGGGCTGTGAGGGGAACAAACTCAAATTATCAAACTCAAATTCCCCCTGCAGGGGTCTGTGTCTCCACTGCTGAGGTTCGAGCAGGAGGAAAAGAATGGAAATCCACAGGTTCTTCCTAAACGTATTCCTTTTATCAGCTTAGATTGCTCCTTAAATATATGCTTAGGAAGATGGAAGTTTTTTATCCTTGGGCTTTTTAGTCATTATTTAACGTCACAGTCGAATGGATGGAGCGCTCTGATTTTGAAGGGGTGGAAATCTCTGAGACCTTGAGTTGTGACATTTTTCTGGCAGCACCTCTCAGCTGCGAGCCCTCCCCTAACTGCTGCAAAGATAATAAAATAATAAAGCAGGAGAATCAGTGTGATTCATCTCGTGACTCTCACCATTTCTCAGCAGCGCTTTTTCCCCAGCGATTCCTGCGGAAACCAGTCGGAAAAATTCAGGTTGTTGTTTTTGTGCTGGAAGGGTTGCAGTACAACCAGCAGGGAAAGTGGAGTGAAATAGGGAAGTCCTGTAGCTGTGTTCTTACCATCAGTAAATTCAGTGTACTTCTCTTCCCGTTACCATTGGTTGCTTCGCTGAAGAAACTGCTTGAAAACTTGTTTATTGCGAGCTTGGAAATAATCAGTACGTTGCCTTTTTGAGACTTTATGCTGATATGGTTCCTTCCTAATCATAATAAAGGCTGATAAATCACGTCAGCAGGTTGGAGAATCATGGAATCACAGAATGGTTTGGGTGGGAAGGGACCTCAAAGCTCATCCCATTCCACCCCCTGCCATGGGCAGGGACACCTTCCACTATCCCAGGTTGCTCCGACCTGGCCTTGGACACTTCCAGGGATCCAGGGGCAGCCACAACTCCTCTGGGCAACCTATGCCAGGGTCTCCCCACCCTCCCAGCCAAGGATTCCTTCCCAATATCCCATCTCAATCCACCTTCTTTCAGTCTTGATGAAACAAAGGCAGATTTTACACCGGGGGCCCTCAGTGCACTCCAGTCCCTGCTGGAATCAGTTCCTGTGTATTTACTCCCAGGGAAGATAATTCCTTAAGCTTTCTGCTTTAATCCAGGGGGACTGAAGGGAGGGTTTGCTGCATCCAGGGACCCAGAGGGTTATTTTACCCCCAAAATATCCCTGAAGGAGCTTTTGATGGAGGACAAACACCACTTCAAGCTCTGTTTAACATCCGTCCGCTTGGCTGTGGCAGGGACAGAAATGGGAGTTATTTTACATGTAAAAAGGGCAATAAAGGAGTGATGACATATTAGTTATGACAGAGAGTGTAGCTGTGAGATCCTGGGTGTCCAGGGCAGGGATTTTCCGTGGACTGAGCTGTCCAGGCCGGAGCAGAGCCGGGAGCTGTCCAGGGCCTCTCACTTCCTGACTCCGGAGGGTCATTCCTTCCATCTGCTCTGAGTTATTTGCAACGTTTTCTGTAACCTGTTCCACAGGCTGGTTTATGGCAACAACCAGCACACACAGTTCCAGCTTCAGGGGTGCTGTTTAAAACTTCCCCCTCCGTCTATTCCCGAGGATGCCGCAACACCGGGATGTTGCACCGTCGTTCTGTAAATCCCAAATGAGTCTGTGAGGATGGAGAAGTTAAAAATTACCCCTCTCCCCCCCTCTTCCCCACCAGGGACCTGACCTTGTTTACCCACCTCTTGGATTATTATTGCTACAAAGAATTACCTTCTGTCTCTTCTGCATTTAATATTCCTTCGGCCTTGAAGGATTTGCTTATGCAAAAGGGTTTTATCTGCCCTGATGCAGTTTTTTTGTAGACAAATCAGAGAATGTGGAACTCAGGGGCCTGTTGGAGCCTGGGAGGGTGCTCTGTGAAAGCTTTTGCTGCTGGTGAAGAGAAGCAGTTTAGCAGGATGATTTCCAACCTTTTTTTTTTTTTTTTTCTGGAGTTGAACACACCTGCCAGGCTCTTCTTTTTCCTGACCCTGATTTTTGTGGGACCTCACAAATGAATCTGGGGATCAAAGAGGCTTTAAAAAGGGACGTGGCTGGGGGCTAAATGGGTCCCTCCGAGTCGCCTTTTGGGATTATGGTGGAGGTCAGACACTCTCAAAATGAGATGATGCAGCCACCATATGGGCAGGGGAGATAAAATGCTGTTCCCTTGCACTGTCTCTCAGCTCCCATTCCCGTTTTCCATATCCAAAAAGAGCAGCAGTAGGGACTCGGGGATGTAGCCACTGTGTAGGTGGGAGATGAGGAGGGGGAAATAGAGAATTTGGGGTTTTTTTCCAGTGGGAGGGAAGTAGCTGGAAGAGGAGTCACGTTGACTTGTGTGCTCCTAATCCATCAACACGTCAAGTTTCACCAACTGGAAATCACTGAGCTGATGTCAATAAACTACCCAGTGATGAAGATTTCTGAGTATTTAGAAGCAGAGGTAGTGAATAGTTAATGGACTTTGACACAGACTGTGCAGCCACAGATGTGAGGGCAGCTGATTTTTCATCTCCCAGTTCGGATTTAGTGGTTTTCCTGCCTGTATCGATTCTTGCAGAGGATGATTCCACTGACCTGCCTCAGAGCAGGGGATGTGCTGCAAGGTCTGCATGCCCTTGCCAGCTCTATTTCTGTGATCCTTGGAGCCTCAGTTAATTTTCTTCATCTTTTTTTTTAAATGGGAAAGAACTGGAGTGTGCTTAAAATGGCACCAACAGAAGGCACAGCTCTGTTTATTCCCAGCCTGCTCTTAACATCTGGGATAAGAGGGTGTTTTTTTTTCCAGCAGGGGTAGGTCAGGTATAAAGTGGCTCATTCAGTGGTGTTTCTTTCCTACTGATCAGCAAAGATGGGGAGAGCGCAGGGTGAAAAATCCTTAATTTCTTAATGTCTGAATTCCGTCTTCATTCCTTTTCACCCCCTGTCTCGTTCTGCCTCTCCCAGGCTCTGCATCCTTCTAAATGTCACGCTTTTCCTTGGCTCCCTGCGTTCTTCCGCTCTGCATCCAAAACTCCTGGAAGTACAAGCACATAAAGCTGATGGAGAAGTGGGTTTTAATCAGCCGGTGTTCTGTAAGCACCCTGATCTCAGGCACTAATTTGCAGCCGGGATTAATTTTCTCGTTAGCGTGCAAGATTTTGATCCCTCCAGAACAACGGAGTCGTGCAGGATCGCGGGGATGCAGGCGGCGCTCCGGCTGATTAAAGCCTTTCCTTCCATTAGCTTCATATCCTCTTATTCCCACATGGAATCTTTGCCTTGGAAACAGCCACGTGAAGCTTTCAGGTCGTTTTGTTTTTAAATCAGAATGTCTCCGAGCAGGAATTGCAGAGATGATTCCAGGCCTGATAACGCCCTGCCTGGAGATTATTCCTGCTTTAGGAATACCTTGTCTGTTGGGAACTGCAGCAGCTCCTGCTTTCAGCCTTGACCTGTAAAGGGGCACAGATGTTGTGCAGAGGTGAAATCCTTCGTGGGTAAGAGGAATCTGGGAAGAACTGAAGCTGTCACGTCCCCGAGCGGATCCGCACAAAAATTTAGGGTGATCCGACAATTTTGGAAAACGAGGTTC